CAGTTTATATAGCGCGGGATGCAAGCTTAGTAGTTTACCTAAAGCTAGACAAAAATCATGTACATAAAAATATCAAAATAGATCATACAATAACAACATGTCCAAGAAGACATGACAAAATGCAATCCTAGAAACTATCATCAACTTCATTGTGGTGTCTTCACCAACGACATCGCTACCACGACTATCATTACCACCACCATCATTACCATCGTCACCACCACCATCATTAAGATCATCATCATCACCGTCATCGTCATCATCATTATTATCATCATCATCTGTAGGCCTATTATACTAACACCTTCATTATCGTCAGTATCATCGTAATCGTCAACAGCACCGTCGTCAACCACAGTATACACCACCATTGTCTTCATCCTTTATCGTCCTTTTCGTCGTCATTAACATCATGATCACCACCATTCTCAACAATAACATCACTATAACTAGGCCTACGTTACTACAACCTGGAAAAGAAAAAGACAAAATCACTACTGCCACCCCGCCATCCTTATTATTTTATTATTATCATTCTTATCATCAATAATAACCATCATCTTACTCTTAGGCCTAATATTCATCGTATTAGAACAACAACAATATCTAGCTTACTGCCAATCTTATCAACATTACTTGCACTACGCCCACCGTCATATTATTCGTCATCAGTCTCTTCATTGCAGTATCACCCCCGTCAAAATCACTGTCATTTTCATTATTAAAATTTTCAACAGTAATCATAGTCAATATCGACAAACGAATTAATATAATCACTGATGATTTTTGCAACCGTCGTCATCTTCATCATCATAATCATCATGTCCTCACCCTCATGATCATCCTCATCGATATCACTTTCAAGACGAATTGGATATCTAAGTTGTATATTTCTTAGTTTGCCTTTGTTTACACTTGTCCAAGCATTAATTATGGTAAAAATGACACAGGTCATAATCAATGCAGGTAAAGTTGTTAGTACCGTACTGCAACCTCATTTGCATGAGTACCGTACCTTAAGTTGTTGAGAGTGTGTAAGACAATTAGGCCTACAACTTGACCATGAAGAGTGGGGCTTTAAGAATAGGGTCTAGACTGCATTATATAGATAGGCCTATGCCTAGTTATCGAAATTGATAGACGTATTGCTTGTGGAGACAAAATAGCACAGAGAGATTATTCCACGTACAGTACATGCTCGTGAAGTTAAGTAGGTATCTGATGGAAATACGAGGTCATAGTGAAAGAGCAGGTTCGACTCCCATTGAAGTCTAATACTCATTCACTATTAACTAAGCCTATCTTCTTTTCCATGATTTCGGTTTTAGACGCATTAGTTGTGTTCATGTATTAGAGATATTGATATTTATTTTTAGGGCTATACTCTTGTTATTATGTTTTCATTTTTTCGAGTTGACATAACTTTGGGTCAATGTATCATTCTAGTTTTAATGTACTGTACTTTTTCCATTGGTTTGATATTTCTCGTCCTATGTGATTTGTTGGGTGTACATTTTCGTGATAGGCTAATCTGTCTCCGCAATAGTGCGAGCCATCCTCTAATTGTTCATTTTGGAATAGATCCATGCCTCAAACTATAATGAGGGATAGTGTACTGATGGAATATCACACGAATAATACATTTACAACCTTCCGATTTGTACATTTACGTGAACATAATCTACGGTAGATTACCAATTAGGCCTAATACACTTTTAATGTGTTGTCAACATGTGTATCGATATCGCAACCGATTCTTCTGTCTTACCATTTCCAAAAATGATAAGAAGTAGTAAACATTAGACTCAGAAATGTGAACAGAGACACCCCAAAGTGAACTAAAGTACCGTACTATTGAGTTAGGGATATTTTACTAAACGGTTATAATAAAAGTAGACATAGTATAATTATATATATATATATATTGTCTCTTATACACATCCTAGATGTGTATAAGAGACACTTAGAAGTATCCATAGGGATAGGGATAGGGATGTATATATACATATATATAGGCTTAATGCATATAATAAAAGTAGACATAATATAATTATATATATTTACAATATTAAATATTAATAATGATAATGTTAACAAATTTAGATTGAAAACGTTAAGGTATCACTTTATACTGTATTTTATTTTCAGATGATAAAACCTCCAAATCATGGCCTAAAATAAAATTAAAGTAAACTAAAACAAGAACATTTGAATATTAAAAAGTGATGTTGTACTTTGTAATAATGGAGCTCATCGGGCTAGCTAAACAACCAGACGGACTCGTCCCTTATTATAACCACAATCGTGTCCGTAAAATCTATTTTCTGCAGCCTGCTTTGTAAAGAACTAAGTGGTCAGTGAGACATGATGAACCGAGGTGATAGTGTCTTGTGTTAAATGAACCAGTTGATTTGTCAAGTATAATAGTGTGGTCAATGATAAACGCCAAAACACGACTAAATTATGAAATGCTAGCTTATAACTCAGCCGACTGACCAATAATTAATTCGGTCATCACTTCGTTTGAGCGTGTATCTACAGTAACGTAATAACAATCAAACCACAGGAAAAGGCAACACGAAATGTTGAATACAGAGTTTTGTACTGCATATCATTGTACACACACTATAGGCATATGTGTGTGTCGGTGTACATATTCATTTTTTAGGTGTGTATATGTATATATAATCCTACTATTTGTATATGAGCACGTTGACATTAGAATAATTTGTCATACATGGTTGAAGTTTATCTAGGAATACTCTTTTATTGACATGCGTAATCTTAGGTTACTTGAATAACCTCCTTCAGAGAGCTATAAATTATATACTTATCATATATATATATACATATATATATATATATATATA